ATTATTGGATTTTGTAGAGTAAGTTTTAATTGTGAACTAAATACAAAATATTAAAACATTTATTTTGGAATTTGACCGGAACAAAGAAGCAGAGAAGACAAAGTTAAATAATGTGTCGACTCAATGTCGCCCCCTACAGGAATATGTACGTTTATGTAATTTTGTGGTTTTATTTCAGCAAGAAGACGCCACCAAGTCTCTGAATATCAGCCTCTTTATATGTGGTTGTATTTGTGTTTTCATTTATAGTTATTCTGAAATAAGTTTGTGTTCAAACTGTAAAATATCAAGTCTCAAATATTTGTCTTTGTCATCAAGGTTTGATGACATCATCTTAGGAATCTATGTTTAAATACACATTGTTGACTAAAATATTAGTATCTGAAATGTTTTACCCCTAAAGTCCATTCGTGCTCTTTTATTTACTGTCCGCTGATTAATTGGTTTATTGATTGAGCTCTGGTTATTTAAGACACTGAGACAGAACAACAAATATCTCACAACCTGAAGGAGTTCAGTTTGATCTTAAATGATTAACCCATCTATGAGAGTATTTCCAATACATATTATGTCCATATATGTGTCAATGAATCTTCTTAATATAACTTATTAATGATGCAAGAGCAGAAAAACACGAGGGTAAACTACAACAAAGTGAAATAAAGTCGGCACTGGGCCCCTGACTCACAGTCACATCCTCACAATGACACTTAACTTAAATTCACTGTAGTGAGAACATGATTAATCCCACCAGTGTAATAAACACACTATGAGCTGCTCTGGCAGAGTTGTATGAATGTGATAGAGGCTGTTTTTCCTTGGTGCTGGGGGAGGGCTGTGCTCCAGCCTAGTGGTGGAAATGAGGCAGGGCTGAGCAGGCAGGAAAATAAAAGCCACATAATATAATCTGAGCAGTGAAACGACGACGCAGCAGTAGGCCTCTGTTTAAAATGTGAACACACACACACACACACGTATACACACGAATTTAAAATGGAAACCCTTAATCTGCACCCTGCCTACGTCAGTTCTCGTGATATTTCTGGGAATAAGATATTTTTTTTAAACACAGGAAGGAAGAGAGAGAGAAAATATTGATAATAAAAATGTCTCCTTCTATAAACAACAAATAAATAAAATCCAAACACGGCCTCTGAGTATTATTGACCTTGGGTAGATCCTGTTATTCAAAACGCTGACAAGTTCACCACTGGGGGATGG